CGACTGGAGACGCTAAGTACACAGTGGTTAAGGTAATCGATAGCCACTCAGTCCAACTAGACACGCCCCCAGGCCCACACCCTGTTTTCTATGTCGATAGGTTGAAACTTGCTAGCAACGATCCGCTCCCAAACCAGGTTCAGGACGACTATCAGCCACAGCCGCTGCAGGTAGATGGAGAAGATGAATGGGAAGTAGAAGAAATTGTAGCAGAGGAGGTACGCCGTCGTGGGAGAGGGCATAAGCTATACTACGAGGTAAAATGGAAAGGGTTCCACCGAACGACGCTCGAACCAGCTGAGCTGCTAGAGGACGCTGAGGCAGTAGATCGTTGGGAAGCATTCACGGAGGCCAAACGAGACAGCGAGGGCCGCCTCCCAGAGGGGTTTCGAAGAGGCGACGCAGTACCCCCTAAGGAGGGGGGTATTGTAACGGGCTGAACGCCCTTTGGATAGCTCCTCGATGGAATCTCGGTCAAGCAGCAGACGCCAGGTCTTACTCTGCAACCCGGCATCTGTGCGAGGCCTGAGCGGCGCCCAGACGACGCGCTCAGACACTCGGTGCAACCTTTCTCCGACAAGTAAATAAACACCACGCAAGTAGACTCTATAGCTCTCTATCGAATACAACCTCTTGTATACCTCGCGATTGCTCCCCGGAGCGCAGCCCCTTACAACTAGTTATTTTTAGAAGCTAACTATATAAAGAGTAAGAGTAAGGCTATTATTAGCGTTTTATATAAGCTAGCCTTCTTTCCTATATATACATGACTATAGACCTAGCTAGCTAAGCGCTAGCGTAGGCTTTACCTCTAGGCGTGTCTAATACGTTTACTACTTTAATAAAAATATAGCTTTACTAGTTATTATAATATAGCCTTAACTATTACTATTTATACTACTCAAAGATACTAATACTAATACTATTGCTCTACTAAGAAATAATACTTTAATACTATACTTATATTGGCCGCCCTCTAGCTAATAATTATTTAGAGTTTTCATTCTAGTCTGTGTTGCTCCACCGCCAAAGTCTATCCCCTGCTGACTTACATATATTAGATGAGTCAGCACTAAACATACTTACAGTAGTTAGTTATACTTTAGAAATAATCAGCAGCTTTGTATTGTCTAGGATCAGGGATCCGGCTATACCGGATGCTAGGGCTCACACCCGAATTCTGTGATTCCACATTAGGATATCATGAAGGAGCTCTACTATAGGGCGTTTAACCTGTCAAAAGCCAGTTAGTTAGCTCTAGAATGGCGCCCCCAGCATCCCTTCCTGTAAGAGGCTATGAAACCCCCTAAACTGCACGTCTGGAAGATATTAATTTCTACATTTCTTTGGCTATTATTTTTCCGATGTAAGCTGTGCAACTGTCGGAAGTGTAAGCTTTGTGAGTAGGTAATATCTCCGGCTTATTGACTGTATATTATCCGATAGCATATATTTAAGTAGATGAGACGACATGAATGAAAATCAACCAAAGTCTTTCAAAACATTCTCACTACTGAACCCGTACGATATTTTGTCTTAGTTTCGCCTACCTATAACTACTTAAGTTGCGTAGGCATAATGCGCTTTTCAACTGTGCTTCTTTTACCTTTCTTTACAAGTCTTGTAGCTGGTTGGATAAATAATCAATTTTGTCATTCAGCTAACCCAAAGTGGGGAGTAAGTTTATGTGTTACCTGTTGTGCTAAGGTTTTTACTACTCTTTATAAGCATTACTAACAGTAGCTATAGGGGGGATGGCGCAGTGGTGGAGCGCCTGGAAAATTTTCTGCTGTCTCACGTCAGCAAAGATCGAAGGTTCGAATCCTTCTCCCCTCACAACCATATTTATGGTCCACCCACATGAGAGAGTTACTCATTAAACTATCTATTCGACTGAGAGAGTTACTCGTTAAAACTTGAGAGGAAGACTCATTTAAAGTGAAAGATCTGAGAGAGTTACTCACTAAAAAACTACTAGGCTACGAGCCTCACCTTCATTTAGATAACCCCCTACATTGTACCTACTCAATTTGTACCTAGATTAAATTCTAGCCTACGTAGTTACTTGCAGGCCTTAAGCCTGCACGTCTTATATAGCCCTTTGGGCTGAGAAAGGACGTTAAACTAGAATAATAATAATAATAATAATAATAATAATAATAACAGTAGCTATAGACTCCAGGAAATTGCATAGCACAGGATATTGAATGGTGCAGAGATTACGCCGCTTGTGAATATGTAAGTTGTATGCTTATAGTGAATCTAGGTATAACGGTAGCTAATATTAGAAAAGTGCGCCAAAGGTAAATTCCAATCAGCATGGGCAAACCCCAATGGCGGATGTGATTGCTACTGTGCTTAATGTACAGAGGTGGCTTTCAAAAGTTATTGCTGACAAGGATATCTATCGGCCCGACTGTCTTGGCACCCACACCGATGTTTTTTGAAGCTGGAGGAGCAGTTATACACCCATTTTTTGAAGTTTTTCGATAAAAAATGAAGCAAAATACCGATATCTGCACGCGTGCCATGATCGTTACATTGAAATCGCCCTTTGGTAAATCCACCAATCAGATCAGCCAGATAACGGGTCTTTCACCACGTGCGATTGACTCAATTTACAGCAGAGCGTGCCAACGAGGCTTTGAGCCCAACTCGCCCACTATTAAGCTGCTCCCTATACACTTAGAGGATGCCCCACGCGCAGGCCGCCCTCGTAAACAAGAGGATATCCACGAAGCTACCCTTGAAAAAGTACACCGCGATAGGTACGGTAAGTACACCGCGATAGGTACGGCAGAGAGAAAACCTGTGTAGATATAGCTGGAGACCTTAGGATTCAAGGCTACGACGTTTCATCCCCCACCGTTTGGAGAATTCTTAAAGCAGCAGGATATAATAAAACAAAGCCAACACGGAAGCCTAGTTTAACACAGAAAATAAGGCAGGAGAGGTTTAAATAGTGTGTTGCCCATAGGGATTAGACCTTAGAGGATTAGAAAAATGACATTTAGACAGATAAGACCTCTATAGTACTCTACCATCAGCGTAGTAGCTATCGTGTCTAGAGGCACCTAGAGGAGGTATTCACCAAAACTATTATTCGCCAACGGTAGAAGGGCTACTCTAAGTTTATATTCTAGGGTGTAACGGGCTAAACGCCCTTTCGATAACTCCTCGATGGAATCTCGGTTCGAGCTGCGCGCGCACCATCTGAATTACGTTCAGACCGAGCAGCGCTCAGACAGCGCGCTCAGACAATGCGCTCAGATACTCCGGTATAACCTTTCTCCGATAAGTAAATAAACACGATGTAAGCAGAGTAGATAGCTCCTTATCGAATACAACCTCTTGTAATCTTAAGTAGGGCGCGTTCAGCAAGAGACAATTGGGCGGCGTTGGCGAGCTTCTGCACATGCTTTTTGAGGCGCTGCCTACTAGCTTCATCATTCGCAAGAGCATCCTGTTTGATCAAATTGTGCAGAGATGCAATAGCATTAGCTGTCACTAGCGTCACGAGTGTCTGCGGTGCTTCGTCTTGCCTGCTAGAGGGAACACTCTCATTAGTTTCAGAGGTACTTAGTTTAGCGGGGGGTTTTGGTATATCATCAAGTACCTTCTCAGGATGAAAGGGAAACAGGCCAGCCTTGATCCATCCAGCCCGCATATTCCTAGATGTAAGTGCTTGGTCCCGTGCGCGACTGTATAAGTAAGTGAAATGCTCCTTTCCAATTATGCCTACGTGACCCCGCTCCAGTCGCTCCACCTGGTCGCGGTAGGCTACCTTCAATGGACTAAACACCGAAACGTCGCACGGCTAAAGCTTATAAGAGGTGTAAGAAGGGATACGACATAGGATAATGTTGTTTTTAGAGCAGAATTCTAAGATCTCTAGGGTTTCGTGCGTCCCGAAACCATCGCACAATAGTACTCTTGGTTTCTAATTAGCACGTTTCTTGGTTTCTAGAACAAATACGAGCTTAAGCCACTGTAAACTAAGATAAGAATCTGTATAGCCGGTATCCGAGAATGCGTAGTGCCACCCAGGAGTAGGGTGTGTAGTCCAGTTGGATCGATGAGTTGATGCAGGCCAGATTACCATAGGGTTTAGATACCTACCATCGGCACTCACGCATTCGATCGCTGTGACAGTCGTTCGCTTAACGCAAGCACCTCTATAGCCTCGCTAATTATCCTTGTGAATAAGAACCTTGATGGTGTTTAGCTTAGCTAGCATGACACCAGTCTCATCCGTGTTATACCAGTTCTCCTGCAAAATAGCTGGGTCTTGTAGGACCTTGCTAATCACCTCAAACCAGTGAACAACCTTATCATAGATGTTATAACGTTTCCAGTCTAGTGCCCCGACCTTACTTGCTGTGAGGTTTGGATGGCGTTTATAGAAGGATTGCGGCCAGTTCTTTCCTGGAGGTTTGCTTGGCCTGCTGGCACTCGTCGACAGGCAAGACCGAACGCTATCGATCGTAGATATTTTATTCGGATGGGGTAGCGGAGGGCGTCTTGATGCACAGCGAATTTGGCAAGAGCCTTCTCCTCCCATGGGTATAGGTATTGTTGGCTCTGTGCCTTCTCGTCTGGTGGTGGGCGGCCGGATCTGCGGTGCTGGAGGGAAGTACGAGGTACGTTATGATAGTCTGCTAGAGCACGAAGCGATCTGGACACGCCGGGGGGTACACCTAATGCCAGTGCCTGGCTGGCTCTGTCCATGTTAGTTCGTTGTAGGGACTCGGTAAGGACAGAATGGCCCGCTCCCAGGCTCTAAGGCAGTTAAGGCATTGCTGCAAAAATAGAAACAGCACGTGATGATAGACACTTCTAGAAGCTTGCTTCTTATGCGCCACATCTGCACTCACACGTGCACCGTCGCTAATTAGATTACCGAAGGCTAATACTGACTAAGCTGCGCCAAGACCTTGCCACCAGCGCGTGGTTCCAGGACGATTCCGATCTACATCGGAGAAACTCTCGGAAACTATGTACTTCAAGCAGAACGGCCTGATAGGATGAGTTTCATACTCTACTATGATACTTCTATCTGCGCAGTAGTCCGAATATCTACTGCACACTTGCTATCGCGATCTAGCAGGGGTGCACAAGTAAAGCAGAGACTAACGGCATGAATGAAATCATGTATCTACCAACCAATCCCTGCCAATTCGCTATGGTTCCTCAGTATCCTGATACAGAAAAGCCTTAAGAGTATCGTTATAGGGGCTGCACTCTAATAAGTCTGTTCGAGATGATTTTTAGGAGGTATAATTGGAGATGCGGCTCGCGTCATAGGGTGGCTCGTGATATAGGGATGGATGTTAGGGAGCTTTCCAGCAAGTCGATTACTAAGAGTGCTTTAAGAGACGCTATAAATGGATGCAGCGCGTCGCTGGCTAAGTGTCGCGTCACGTTAGATAGCCTGTATTGCAAGCTGTAATTGAGATTCTTTTAAAGGGTTTTGCACTTGATTGTGTGGACGCATCACGTATAGTAGTCAAAGTTGGTAGGGTCTTGGCAGAGTGATCGCTTCGGTCTACTGATCGGCTCGCTATACAGATACGTTATAGAATTGTTACTTTTGCTTTACTCCTATAGCTCTTTTCCACCAGAATCTCTGAAAGTCGTACGGACTACCGCGTTCAACTATCTCGCCCCAACTAGGATCGAGACTAGGAAGTATAACCTAACCCCGTGTAATAACCTTATCCCCCATAGCAGTAAATTCCTCGAAATGGTTTTGATACAAGAGTTTTTCCGCCATTCATACTTTGTCCCGTTTCGAAGAGAGTTGTACTGCCATCGTGTGGATCTTTGTAGGTCATGCAACCAACATTGGCTGGGTTGATACCAGGTGATGTGCTGACAAGGCGAACTTGGCAGGCAAACCTCTGTAAAATGAGGCCGATATCAACCATCTTCCCAGGATAGATAGAAATTTCCAGGCGATCTGGGTTTACATGTCCTTGGCAAGTCTCGAAATGGAGTCTATACCAGTAGTCGGCGGATACGACGCTAGTCATAGCTGCGATGATGGCTAGAGACAGCTTCATCCTAACGCGAATGTGTGTATGCTCGTTGAATAGATATTTTCAAGTGTAGGTCTTGGGATGATAATGTGTAGCAAGTGAATATGTACGATTTTGTTTGCAGTTTTTCTACTGAATTACACAGAGAGGGGAGACTATATACTTATACTTATAAGTTATAATCTATTTATAGTTCAATCTGCTTCGATTTAGTTAATACGAATCCCATTGTGGGAGGCTAGACTTCAGAGAGCGCTACGCTAAGGGCAACACCAGGTGTAACAGAGTTAGTCGTATTCGATAGAACGTTAGCAACTAGTATCTACTTGGGTGCTTATGTCTTCGCACCGATTAGGGAAATGAGCTCTCCCGTTGATCTAAGCGTCATGTCTGAGCGCGGCGTCTGAGCGCAGTTCAGATGGGAAGAATCCAGATGCTATGGCCCACACCCGGATTTTGTGATCGCGCACCGAGATATCATCGAGGAGCTCCACCAAAACCCGTCACATGGCGGAGCTATCCGTACTTTGAGGAGCTGCACTCAGGGAGCTATCGCCAGAATATACCGTGATTGAGTTCAATGCTGACATATCTGATATCCATCACGGAGGGACAAACTTTCGCAGAAGTAACACAGACTAGAATGAAAACTCTAAATAATTATTGGCCGGAGGACAGCTAATACAATCATAGTATTAAGGTGTTATTTCTTAGTAGAGTAATAGTATTAGTATTAGTATCTTTAAGTAGTTTAAATAGTAATAGTTAAGGCTATATTATAATAGTAGAGCTATATTTTTATTAAAGTAGCAAATGTATTGAGTACGCCTATAGGTAGAGCCTACGCTAGCGCTTAGCTATCTAGGTCTATAGCAACGTATATAGAGGAAGAAGGGCTAGCTTATATAAAATACTAATAATAGCCTTACTTTTACTCTTTATATAGTTAGCTTCTAAAAATAACTAGTAGGCATAGCACGCAAAAAGAGAAGCTTTAAGAAGTATATGCTAAAGCTTAAGTAATTCAAGTATAGTATATATATATAATATAGAACGCTAAATATATACAACGTACTTTCTTAGTACGCAAATATTGCTTTTTTACTTATAAGAGTTTACTTATTTTTATAGGTAATTCTAAATAAAGTCTTATAGGCTACTATATAACTTTATAACCTACTAGTAAATACTAGATATACTAGCATATATCCTAAGACCTCTAAAATAGCAATTGCTATCATATTAAATGAAAAAATAGAGGTAGGCTATATTTATAGTGCATAGCGCTCACAGAACACCAACGTCAAGTTTTCTAGAATAGGTGTAATTTTGTTGAATATATACAAATCCCTTACAAGAAACTAATTACAGCAAGTTTTAAGACGTGCAGCGTGCGCGCTGTGGAGCTATAAGCTATAAGAGCAGATAGTTGAGACACGTCTCACTCTCAAAACAAAAACACAC